GAACTTTTCAAATGTTACACTGGCTACCAACTAATTTTTTTCATGTCTTTTTGCAATGAGTCTGAATACTACTTTAGGAGGGCAACTTTCCCCCGTTCAATCCAAATCCATGCAATGCAATGTCCCATGAAATTCAGTAAACTGAAATAACCTTTTCCTCCAAACTCCTTCCCCAAAATTCTTGAAGAGTTGCCTGTGGTTGAACTGGAATGCGTTTGGAAGTGTTTGAATTAAGTGCTGCTAGCCCAAGAGACAGTTTGGCTTCCTACAGAGGTGTAAAGAATAAAAAAGGAATTGTGGTGGACAGTGCATTGTTATTGTGAATTATGCAGTGAGCTGAAATGACACTGGAATAGTCATTAAAGTTCCTAAGAGCTGCTCTCTTCCAGATGAGCTAATAGAGCAGCTCTGAGCTCTGAGGTTAACTGAAATAAAATCTAAAAGTGCTGTGAATTACATTTGCCATATTTGACTTCCTTCTAAAGTTAGAGCACTGATACTGCTGACTCTTTTGTCAGTAACAGCTCCACTTAACTCAATGACACTATCTGCATGAAGATGACCACAAAGTTTTACCTAAAGCACATATGACAAGCTGTAACCTTCGCAAAGTTCAGTGTGTTTTTAGATACTCTAAGAAATCAGAAAGCACCGATCCGAAATCTATGAAATCATTCATTGGGTTTTCAAATATCTTCATCTAGATAACACTCAGAAGGAAGTAGTCACTGTCCAGCACTGTTTCATTAATAGGCTTACATGATATGTGATTGTTTGTAAAAGCAGCTAGCCCCAAGAAGAAAGACCTTGGAGGTCCTTTGCAGCCCTACGTAACGGAAAGAAGGCTGGAGTTATGAGAAGCTTACTGCTGTAAAGGATCAGCATCTTGTTAATTTGTTCTATAACTTGACCATGTATCGTTTTACATCCCCGTAAGTTTTTCAGGTACAGTGCTAATGTTAATTATTGATTGGATGTAGAAGTGCCAACTCCCATTGGGTGTAATTAATAACACATGTCATATTGGGAGATAATTTTACGTTCTCTGAAAGTGACTTAGTATGCATCAGATGCTTATATTTTCCATTACCAAGAACTGATTTAATTTTTCAAAATTGTTTTCATTATACTTTTTGAGGAAGAAAAGGGATTTTATATCTTAAGGCTGCATTCTCTTCATTCATTTGAAAGACCACAGAGATGGAACACTTAGAAGAAAGGTTCCACAGCTTACGGTGCCTCTGTAGACCTGTTGGACATTGGACCTTTTCCCACAGATAAAGCCTCACCCTGAATAACGCCATTTTCCACATCTCTACAGGAGACCATTCCATCTGGCAAGCCTTGGCTAAGCTGGGGTTGTGAACAGTAGAGTAGGTGTGAGCAGAAACATGAACATGGGCTACAAAATGAGGAACCACATGAGTTACATGACAGCTGGGGCTGCAAGAATATGGTCCACTGAAGCCAAAAGAGTCCAGTTAACTTGGCTGGGAGCAGGAGCTGACTGCAAGAGCACAGGAGTCTCGGCTATTATACTGCGATTTAAGTGTAACTCTGACTGATGAGCATGAATAACAAAAGTCTCATTGATTTCAATTAGGTGAGGCTTGGGTCTATTTACTGTAACTGAGTCGATTCTCAGAACAATAATTAATTCCTTGTCATGTCTCACGTGTATTGATTTTTGTAATTACAATGAAATTGGAGGCAAGGGGGGGGGGAAGGAAATGCACTTGATTTATGTTTAATTTGATGCACAAGCTGTCAAGGACAAAGAAATTGAGATGCAATCACCAGGCCCCATCCTCGATGCACTCCTCTGTCCTTAGATAACAAGTGCCAGACACACGCTGTAGTGGAGAATCTAAAATCACACACTGCTCTAACATACAGAATTCAGTACTGCGGTGTAAAGAGCTGCCTTTCTACAGCAGTCTCCACAGCATGCACAAGAGATGCCCAAGGGGAAGAAGATAAGGACAGGACAAGCTTAATGTGTATCAATGACTAAGAAGAGGAGACAAAGAATTAGAACGGGGGAGAAAAAAAATACAAGCTGTTGCTGATAATAAAGCTGCCAGTAGATAATGCAAGAAAAAAAGGAGTGAGAGAAAAGAAAATACGTATGGCTTTGGCTGGTAATGATGGCGTTAGGAAAAAGTTTGCGGCAGGAGAGCATTTGAACTTTGTTTCTGCTGTGCATTCACTAAAATGGCAAGTCAGAAATTTTTTGACCTAGAGTCAGTCAGTATTTGACTTCTTAATTAGGTGATAGTTTCCTTTTCCAAACGTGTTTGTGGGAGTGGCTGGCCTGTTTCCATATATACACACATAGATTTGATGATAATATTCAATTTCTAGTTTCTAGAGCATCAGAGATTAGTTTGTTGTAAAGACAGCCTTGTTACTTACACAGATACGGTATAACCTTTTGGGCTCATTAAAGACAATGCCTACACTGACTTCAGCAGAACCAGAAGAAGCTGAAGAACTATTTCCAACCTTTTGCCTGAAAGTATCAGTTCAGGAAGTAAAGTCTCCAACTCATATGTAAGAAAAAAAGCTTTTTATTATACTGTAGCCCTGCAAATGAAAGCTGCAAAACAGTCTCACATCCAAATGTTAAAAAGAAATTATATATATGAGGGAGAGGCAGGGTTTAAAGGTGTAAATCAGTCCTGAGTTAAGTACTTTCATCTAAACACATGATAATTTAAACAAAATGCAAGTCATCTGCCTCCAGCACAGGAAACTAATTTGCATCCAGTTTGTGCAGTTGTCTAAAATGTCAGCACTCTAAGGCAAATTTTCTTTTGGTGACCTACACACACCGCAACAGAGGAAGTTGCGAACTCATACTTTAGAAAAAATCTCACTGGTGTGGCAGTCTGTTGGCAACACTTTGTGAAACGATATTCCTCCTGGCTATGGCAGAGCTGTGCACAAAGTCACAACACAACAAACTGTGAGTCAGTAATAAATAACCAAGTGACAGTGATTGATGACGGCAAATCTGTCTCCAATGGAATTAGTGGTAAAAATACTAAAAATTCCTTCCCTCTTAATATATTAAACTCTTTGTTTAGGGGCTGAGTTGATATTGCCAGAAAACCCTTTTACCACAGCTAGCATAAATTTTAGTGGGCGTTTGAATACTGAAGCACGAGAGAGTAGCCTGTGAAAAAAGCTGCCCCTAGAAAGGCTGCTGTTTGCATAAAATACATTGGTGGTTCTCAGCTGGGAAATTGTTTGATCTATTTTATATCATATGCCCTATCACTAGTGAAGCAAATATGGATATGAAATATGAAGTAAAACATAAAACCAGACTTAATAAAATGAGTAATTATGTTTTGCCTAAATCCTCTCATGCCAGCAAGAGGCACATACCACCATAAATTCAGGAAAGTCTGCCCATTTCAGTATGTGGGAAAGGAAAAAAAACCTGCAGCCAGGCCCTGTGAGGCACATTACTGCAGAGGGTTTTCTCAGGAGAAATTAAGAGCCCTGACTGAGGAGCGCTGATTACCGCAGCACTTGAACTGATGGCCAGATGCAGGGGAAGACAAGGGATCTGGAGCGGCTCTGTGCCATGACCCAACGCTTGGCACGTGGACAGCTGATGGAAGAGTCTAACACTACCAGTCCAGCACAATCTTTCAAAATGCAACCCAAGTCCTTAGTGACAAATTTTCAGTGCTTTATGCTACTTCTCAGTAAATCAGTAACTCAAAAAAAAAAAAAAAAAAAAAAAAAAAAAAAGGACATAGACACAGAGAAGTAATCAAGTGCCCAAGTATTTGTGAAAAGCCAGTGTTAGAGGTACTAGTAGATTATCCTTCAAAATTTAAAATTCCAGCATTTAAATTCCAGCCTTTTTAGTTCACATGCCTGAGAAGCTCATGATCCTACAGCACCAAATATAAAACATAATATTACACATAGTCTTTATGCTCAAATGCCCACAACATCAAAAAGTTCCAGCTTATTTATAAACATGATTTTAAAAAGATGAGTAGAAGTCAGAAATGCAAACATTTTTATTTTTCCAAACTATTGTAAACTTCTAGCTATTCAGACCTTAGCCTAATTTATACTCTGGATATTTCACAGAAATGACATGACAACACTGATTAGCTCACGTTCAATGCTAGAATTCAAGCTGTAATACAAGCATGGAAACATTAGGACTGTGGGCACAGACAAGAAATGAAAAGTGAAGCCTTGAACACACATTGGAGAAAGTGCAACGAAATGAAAGCAGACATAACACAATGGGTGGTGAAGAATCATACCTGGATATGAACTCTACTGAAAACAAGTCTCCCTTCATACAGAAGTCTGATTATATAGTTACCTAGGTCTTCCTACAGGAAAATTGTGTACAAGCGGAGGACTCTGAACCTTCACCACTGAAGTCAATGGCAAAACTACCACCAGCTTCACTAGGAGCAAGACTCAGCCCTCAATCTTTAGGATCAAAAACCGTATTTCAGAATATTACATGTAGATGCAGTGCACAAAATCAAATAGAAGAAATTCAGGAAGCAATGTAGAGTATTAAGCACTATTATTATGAAAACGCTCATTGTTTTCCACAAAAATATATCCTCATCAATTATCACAAGTATCTGCAGCAAGCATGCTAAAAAGATATCTCTTTTTCTTTTCAATGTAAACTGTGTTTTGGTTTTGTACTGCTAAAGCACAATGGAGTGAAGGGCTCACTCTGCTGGTCAGAAGCACCAATTACACTCAAAGCTTTTTAACAATATGAATACTGAAAAATAAACCCCATTGTAATGACATACGGACTTGAAGTGGTGCTCCATACTAGGCTGCTACTTGACCTTTTTTCATCCTGAATATTAGAGACAAAGGCTATGATGCTATGAATGGGCTTTCTCATGTTTAAAGATCAGCCTACCTGCTGTAAGAACACTTTCTTTCCTGAAGGACATTTTTAGCACTACAACATATGTTCAAAAACTCTTTACCTTAGGCTTCTCATCCAGTATTTGCTGACGAATCTCCTTATGTTTTTCTACAAGTTTCTCCTGTCTTTTACTCTGAGCATCTTCTAGCTGCAAGAAAATAGCAGAGAATCTTTTTTAGAGATTGCACATCCTTACCTTCCCACCTCTTCCCCAACAAATATTTCATCCATCAAAATTAAAACATTATCATCCAAACTATGAATAATTCTAATATAAACTTACACACCATTGTCACAAGCATCCCTGAGCACAACTGCTCTAACAGTTCTGTGTGGACAATATACCTCAGATGTCACACATGGGATTTAGAATCAGAAATGTCTAAAGGGACTTATTAGAAAATGATATTAAAAGCATAATACATTTTTAAAAGTCATATTATTTTGCTTTAGCTTTTATTGTACAAGTTGTGTGAGATGGTCCCTGTTCCCGGAAGAAGAGGATTTGCATCCTAGAGTCCTAAATGAACAAGCTGATAAATTTTGGGCCTCATTTAATAAAGCACTCAGATATGTGTCTGACTCCAACAGGAATTAAGCATACTTCAGTTGCTAATTCTCTAGGTTGCTTTGTGAATCAAGGCCTCTGTGAGCAAAAATGGGCCAACTTTTGAAGTGAACTATCTGCACTGAAATTAAGAGAATGTTCAATAGTGGCATATGTTTCATAGTGATTTCAAACATCAAAACACTGCAGTGCGTACTTTCAGCCCAGTGCAAACCACCTGTAACTTCAGAAAAGCTAACACCTGTAATGAAATTCTTTGACTTGTATTTATAGAGCTCATAGAATGTTTTTTTGCATTTCAGTAAGTGTACAAATGTAATTAAGGTTAAAATATACTCTGCAATTAAATGTTTATTGCCTTTCAGAATTCCTTATGCAATCTTTGCATTCATGAGACAGCAAGCCAATTTAAAAAGTTGGTACATTTTCCATGAATAAACACAAGATATTCAAAGATGAAATCATAAGTGTATTAAAATCTGCCCCTCTCAGCACCATCCTCCAAACACTGACTAACAATTAATGAAGATCTGCCTGAAATTCCAGTTTTCCTTTAACTGGAATGTGAAATGAAGTCTACACTGCATCTGTTAAAAATCAGCACTTGCAGAATCTTTATACCATAGCTTAGTATCTGCAGTTTAGTATGACCTAAAATATGAAAGCTGACATTTTACCCCCCCAAATGAAAAATAAACATATGGCCTGACATACCCGTTTTATGTACTGCACCACTTCCTGGATATACGATCGAATCATTTCCGTCTTCTCTCTGGGGACAGGCACAACAAGTTATTGTAGTCAATAAGATCACACCACTATTTTTTAATCCCCCCCAACTCCTTACAAAATAAGTAAGGCTATGTTTTGAATGTAGGGATCAGCCTACTTAACTTTTATCCGCTTCCTGATCGTGCCTTTTGTAACAGGCTGCATCTTTTTGTATGTAGGGCTCAGACTTCCCCATGATCTACCACAACGAACCCCCCTGCTCTTTCACAACAGACTTTTCCGATACGGTACTGCCGCATCTTCAAAGTGATGGTGGTGTTCCTTAAGGCCCAAATGTCAGGCTAGGAGAGCACACTATCATCAGTAGATGCACACTGCCACATTGTGGCACATCATATAGTAGAGAAATAGTCTCTGACAGCAAGCAGATACTGCTGGTGATATCTCAGAGACAATGGCGAAGTTCCCACAAAGAGCAGCGCAGACTTGACTTTGGTCCCCAGTTTTGCTGTTGTAAACCACATAAAGCTGAACTTGGAGGAAGTACTTGAACTTTAAGTGACTCTGTGAGATAGCATTGGTCAAAGGCCGAAGATGAGATCCCCCAAAGGGATAATTGCACATAAAATAACAATTTGTGGATACTTGAGTTGACCAGATTCAGGACAGTACTCTAAAACCTAATTGCCTAAGTCAAGAACAATGAATTGCTGTCCAGGTGGCACTAAGATCTGACGGTTTTAGGTAATTACACAAGCCCTGGGTGCATGTAGGAATTAGAAAAATCAATTAAGAACAATACAATGTATTATCTCTGTGCAATATTCTTTCCCAAATTTGTGTAAAAGCTTTAAATAAAAACCAGCCTAGCCCGGATGACTTTAATGGGATTCACCAGAAGGTCTCACTACTCTCTGTCCTACTGCGAGAGTGAGGACAAACTGTGTCACTCGACAGAGGACAGCTGAGTTTCCCTTGTAGTTCCCATCTCACCTTTCCCAAGGGCTCTTTGAAAAGCCTGGCAAAAAGCCCTTGGAAAAAACGAGAAAAAAATAAAAAGAAAACAACAAAGAATTTCTACTTGGCTGTTTCTGAGCCTTTCTCACTAGTGTCTCATTAACATCTCAGCAAATCATTTCCTATTGCAATTGATTTTTACTGCTATAACATTTTCGTAATTACTAACTACTTTTTTTTAATATGACTTCCATGCCCTCTGATGAGGTCTAACCATATTAAGCATTTCTCCCTTTTTTTGTATAATGTTATTCTCATTTTGTTATCTTTTTTCTAGGGTGTTTATTAAAATTCTATAATATTGATTCTTAAATTATCTGATGCAGTTCCGTGTGTGCGTGTAACCTTTCAGTGTTACCAAATACACAGATTATATGCTGAGAGGCTCCAAAACCTGTATAAACCTTTTTACCTTGTCGTGGTTTAACCCCAGCCAGCAACTAAGCACCATGCAGTCGCTCACTCACTCCCCCCCCGTCCCCCCCATCCAGTGGGATGGGGGAGAAAATTGGGAAAAGAAGTAAAACTCGTGGGTTGAGATAAGAACGGTTTAATAGAACAGAAAAGGAGAAACTAATAATGGTAATGATAACACTAATAAAATGACAACAGTAGTAATAAAAGGATCAGAATGTACAAATGATGCGCAGGGCAATTGCTCACCACCCGCTGATTGACACCCAGCCAGTCCCCGAGCGGCGATTCCCCACCCCCACTTCCCAGTTCCTATACTAGATGGGACGTCCCATGGTATGGAATACACCGTTGGCCAGTTTGGGTCAGGTGCCCTGGCTGTGTCCTGTGCCAACTTCTTGTGCCCCTCCAGCCTTCTCGCTGGCTGGGCATGAGAAGCTGAAAAATCCTTGGCTTAGTCTAAACACTACTGAGCAACAACTGAAAACATCAGTGTTATCAACATTCTTCGCATACTGAACTCAAAACACAGCACTGTACCAGCTACTAGGAAGACAGTTAACTCTATCCCAGCTGAAACCAGGACATACTTGTAGAAAACCAAACATAGTTGTGTCTTTGTTACTTAGTAAAACTCAGATAGTCTAGTTTTTTTTCTTTTTTTTGTTCCTCCTGTATTTTTAACTGTCCTTAAATGTTACTAAAGTGAAGACTAGTAACAAGAATATCCCAGCAAACAGTGCAAGATTAAAATGCTCCATTTTCTTTTTGAGCTGCTTGCCAAAACAAATGAAAGAGGACAAATAAACCTAGATACTGTGCCCTTGGGAAGAATATAATCAACTTGTACAACTACAGTTTGTATCATCTGGTGGTGCATAAATGAAATTAATATTCCTGTCCCTGTTCACAGAAACTGCACCCTCAGAGTTCAGCTTTCCTCTCTCTTCCACCCAAAGTGACTGCTCACTGCATAACGCTGTCACTGGAGGAGAATCAGTAGCACAGCATCTGAGGTGAATTTACCACAGAAGTAGAGCAAACCTTCCAATGTGTTGCTATTTCTTCCAGAGAGCAGCTTTAACAGAGATAAGAAGAAAAGATAACTCACAAATAAAAACATAAGTTAAGGTGAAATCAAACCCTGCAGGAACTGAAGCCACTAAGTCTATTTATACTCAGAGGAATAGCATCTGGATTAACCAGCATCTTGGCGAATCGCTCTGTTGTGCCACTCATAGGCATGTCCCCATACCGCACATCAGCACCTTTGCAGCTGACCCAGACTCTCAATACTCACAGAACAGGAGATTAGATTAGTCCCAGGAAGTTAATCATAGAATCATAGAATCATTTAGGTTGGAAAAGACCTTCAAGATCATCGAGTCCAACCATCATCCATCCCCACTAAACCATGTTACGTAGTACCCCATCTACGTGCTTTTTGAATACCTCCAGGGATGGTGACTCAACCACTTCCCTGGGCAGCCTATTCCAATGTATGACAACCCTCTCAGTAAAGAAATTTTTCCTAATATCCAACCTAAATCTCCCTTGCCGCAACTTGAGGCGCTTTCCTCTTGTCCTATCTCCAGCCACCTGACAGAAGAGACCAGCACCCACCTCACTACAACCCCCCTTTCAGGTAGTTGTAGAGAGCGATAAGGCCTCCCCTCAGCCTCCTCTTCTCCAGACTAAGCAGACCCAGTTCCCTCAGCTGCTTCTCATAAGACTCATTCTCTAGAACCTTCACCAGCTTGGTTGCCCTTCTCTGAACACGCTCCAGCACCTCAATGTCTTTCCTGTAGTGAGGGGCCCAAAACCGAACACAGTACTCGAGGTGCAGCCTCACCAGTGCCGAGTACAGGGGAACAATCACCTCCCTGCTCCTGCTGGCCACACTGTTTCTGATACAGGCCAGGATGCCGTTGGCCTTCTTGGCCACCAAGAATTAAATTAGTATCAGTGAAGTAAGGAGGACTCCACTGCTCTGGTGAGGTATTGCAGTCTGACTAAAAGCTGCCTTGTATTTAGGGTTGAGACTTTTCTTTGATTTTTCCAGCTGTGAAAAATCTTGTCTCCTCGCAACATAGAAGGATATGTATCTAGTGATATGCTTACTCTTCCATTTGATTTTTATCCTTGGACTTCGCTTCTGTGATCTTCTCCTGCCTCTTCTTGTCCATTTTTTTCTTCAATTCTTTCTTTTCTCTAAAGCATAAAAAATAAAGGCAAGTTCAAAATGTATCTAAACAATAACCACATGGAGTAGCGATCAATTGTAAGGGAAATAGCACCTTACTTTTCACATGTTTCTTTCAGTTTCTTTAGCTGGCTGTTCTGACACTCCTCTGCTACATCTGTCAACTTCTGAATAAGCTGAAAAAAAAAAAATCCCAAGAAACAAAAGTATGTATTTTAAGCTAAACATCACACATGCATCTAAGTTTCCTCAAAAGTCTGTAGCAGACATGAAAGTGTTACACCATTCCCTGATTAATTACTAACGATCAGAAGTCAGTAAACATTCTTATCAGTGTAAAAGCATTCTTAAATTTTGGAGTTCAGTCAGTCTTGTGTATGTCCAACTTACACAGAAACTACCACTTCTCTGTACATCAAGGTGACATAGTTTCAGAATATTAAATGTAAAACCAAAATATATTTTGCAGATTTTAGCTTTGCTAGGAATTAAAATGCCTATGATAATTCAAATGGTCACAAACTGAATTTACACAATACAAATTACAAACTGAATTCCTGTGTCGCTGAATATTCAAGGTTTTCTGTGAGTGCTGAAAACATTCCTCTTGCATTGAGCATTATTACATGGAACAGCTTGGATTTCAGGGTGGTCAGGTGGATATTGAAAATTCATGCATGATAGCTAAGAAAGCTAAGCATAGATAAGCATAGCCTACATTTTGATCGCAGAATCATGGATTCAAAAAATCTGAGTTCTTGGTTTGAAACCTGCTGTGCAGCACTGAGTCCGATCCCTTTTGTGCCGGAACTGCTAACAAAAAGCGTGCTTATGGTGGTGATGCTGATGGGAAAGGACACATGGACAGGGCTTGCGTGCAAGTTCAATGAATGGTGAATTAAAGTGAGAAATGGGACCAGTTTGGTTTGATCACCCCCTCTAGTTTAAGTCTGATTCTATAAATAATCTTCTCAGGATGATGAACCAGAGAATGTATAATAATGCCTAGCTAGTCTGATCCAGCTTTTCATTCCTTAGATAAAAGAAGAAAGATACCGACAATAGGCTCTCCTCTAAAAGAAAGATATCAGAAAGAATCTCTCAGCTGCAAAGCAGATTTTAATTGGAATATTAACTCTTGCACAGCTCAGAGGGAAAACTGTCTGAGGGTTCTGTGCTAAAAAATGAATTTATCCTGACACTACCTAACCGGACAATGCTGAAAATGTAACTTTGCTTTGAGAAATGCCGTTTCCCATTTTGAAATGAGAAATGAGTTAGCTTACAATATAAGCCCAACTATGTGGGTCCAAAGTGGTTCATTTTTATAAAAATTAAAATCTCTGAGATGCAGCCAACAACTGTTACTTCAATGTGGACTCTCTCCCTGTGGCACAGGTAACCACATCCATGCACCCACACTGGAGCAGCTGTGATTCACATACAACTGGTGATAAACAGTGCACCACCTGAGAACTGCAGCTCTGTGCTATGATCCATGGGAATGAATTTGTGAAAAGGCCTTGCTGAGTGATCTGCACACATATCACTCCTCTGATCTGCTATTTTTGGATGGCAGGGTAGAGTAGACAAATCACTTCACCCAACAGTAATGAGGCAAAATATCATATAATAGAAAAAAACTGAGAGAGGATTGTCTGTAGTTGAGAAACAGTTTGCACTCCCATAACACCCTTTAAAAATGTTCTTTTCTGCCTGAGAATATCCATCAGGATCAGCTGCCATCTGCCCAAGCTCCTCTATTTCTGCTCAGAGGGCCTATGATCCTGCTGTAGTTGTCAGGCAAACTCCAGCTGTAAAAACACAAGCTGGCTTGGACTGATGAAGGCAAAATATTTCTTCACCATATACAGATTATGTCCTGCATCCCATTAAAGCATTCATATGCAACAGGAACACTGTTTGGCACAACTCTTTGCCCTGGGGAATGTTTGAATCTATTTTCATTTACTTATTTTCATAGTGTTTCAATTTATTTTCCAGCTAATCCTGCCTCCTTGAGTGTTGTATGTTTTAAAAAGTGGCAGAACAAAACAGGAATATCATGCAAAAGCTGCAGCAAACTGAGACTTGCATAACAAGAGGTAAGGACTCTGCATTGGCAGTAGTAATAATCCTGTTGCCTTTCTGCCTTCCATCCAAAGCCTTCCAAGTTGTTAGAAGTGTTAGTGACAAAGTGACACAACACCCCTTGAAACTGCAGCAGACCACAGGGAAATCAAGCTCTGAAATGTACTCAGAGTAAGAGGAAGCCCCACTTAATTATAACGTCATGCTGCTTTCATTACTCACCCTGAGATCACTAAAAAGCAGACGACATAACAAACGTACCAGCTTAATGTGCTCTCGTTTCTGGTACTTTTCGCTGTAATACTGCTCCTGTCGGAGATTTAGCAGCTGCTGTTGTTGCTTCTCCTTCAGCTCGACTAGCTTCTGGGTCATTTCAGAGTCAAGTGCAGCTAATTCCTGTTCAATAGTTGAAGAACTGTGGTCTGGGCTGCCCGTTTCAGATCTGCAAAGACACACACACCCCCCACCAAGATCTAAGTCACTAGGTGTGTACACTCTGCCCCATATTGAAACCTTGTTTTTAAGGCAGCTGGTTATATGTAGCCCATTAAGAAGTTTCTCAGCACCACATATAGGGCCAGAAGATGATTTTAGCTCTACCAAGTCCAATAATTTAATCTTTCAGGAAAAAGATAGTGTTAACAGTTAAACCTCATTTTACTAACCCATCATGGTAGTTGTGAACCAGACTTAGTATAAATGAGCTATAAATGCAACTGCCAAGATTTCCCATAAACAGATGCCCATGGAACTTGTTTATCCACTTCCAGACGTGTAACTTGAACTTCAAAGCTGCACAGTTCTCAGCAGAAATGGTGAATGCTAAGTATTTTGGAAACTGAGTCATCCTTGCATGCACTTAGCAATAAATTTAAGAGCATAACTTTACATCTGCATTTATAAAATGCTTAAAATGGTAGGAACATCCCCTTATTTGGTATTTTCTCCCCCCTTCAGGAAATGCCATGCCTAGCGCACACAGAGAAAAGTGCTCTATGGACTGCTGACTTTAGGAGGAAAGTTAGCACCCCTGTGGGGAGCAAAACTCAGAAAGGCACCACATCGAGGCAAATGAAAAATATAGTGAGGAAGCTAAAAAGCAACACTAAGGAACAGTTTTGTGGGTTTTTTTCTTTCTTAAGACAAGAGGAAGGATAGATATAATTGTGAAAGGAGACATGATGACACTAAACCGCTCAATTTAAAAATAAGCAGCAAAAGCAGTATCAGTCTCAGGCCAGCACTGAACTAAACCCAAGAGAAAAAAAAAAATATAAAAAAAGATTATGCTGTGTCCCTGCTCTGCTGCTGTGTTTACTGCTGTACTCAGGTGTTAAATAAGTTGCCCAGGAAACCTCAGAACAGTGCATGACAGGGACAAAACAGCAAGATCTTGAACAGAGAGGGCCAACACTGTGAGAAAAACGAGTTTGCTACTCAGAAATTTGCAGAGATTACAATGCAGAGAACTTGCTACGCTGGCTGCCTCTCTTCTCTCTCCCAGGTTCAAGTTTGCAGCTGCTGTCAGTTAGCGTTATTTCAACCAAAATAATGTGAAGCTGCTTTCATCGGTCTGAGGATATGAAACCCAAGGTAGTCTCTTTTTATTTCTTGTATTTTTATTGTATTTGAATACTCTGTTAAGAGGTTAAGTGGTGTCAGAGTGATAGGTGAGGATAATGTAAACACAGAGCCAGAAGACAGCATTAATGAATATTAAAGTCAGCATATTATGCCATTACACTATACATTTTAAAGCTGACATTTCTCTTGTATTTTTGGGAAAAAGAAATAAGGCCTATTTCTAAACGCTGGCTAAAACACTAAGACTGTCTTTAAGGGACATGATCATTATAGAAACTTCAGAACACCACCAGCAAAACACTTGTGCATGTGTATAAATAAATACTTCAAACTTCCTATAGACAATGGCTTTACTGAGTCTTGGCCCAGTTTTAAACAAGGGCATGAAACATGGATTGCTTCTGATCAGATACAACAAATTTTTATGGCAATCTGATACAGGGACTCCTGATGAAGAAGTGATTTATACTTTGCAGTTACAGGCAAATAGCTTCAGTAATAATTTAAAATGATAAAAATTGCCTTTTTCCTTGAGATGCAGTATTCTATTAGAAGTCTGCTGCTTGAGATAATATGTACTTCCAAGTTTGAAAAACCCTAAAAAAATACCCCTGCCTTTTTAAAATTTAACCTCAGATTTTTTAACCTTCAGATTTCTCTGTATCTGCACATAAAACTTCATATCTCCAAAATCACTGCAACAGTTCCACATAATAGACTGCAGGGTTTTATTGCCTGATATCATGAATGATTTATGGTCAGATCATAATCAAATAAAACAACAAAATCCTTTTTACTCAAAGACAAATGAGTCATTTTATTTATTCATTTTGATTTTCTGCTTAAATTTGAATAGAATATGCTAGAGAAAAGAAAGAAACATGGTGTTGTTTTGTCTGCCACTATCTGTCACACACATTGATGATGGAAAATACAGTGAATAAAATATCACTGTGTGTGCAGTTGACAAGCAGTCATTAAGGGAGTTTGTTAAACTCAAGTGTAGAGCCTGGAAGCCTGAAAACTGGCAACAGTTAAGGCCAGCTGAACATAGATATATTATGAGTGTTAAGCTCTTATTAAGCCCAATGACATTCTGTCATCAGGCAAGCATAAATGAATAAGCTCCTTCCTAGGGACAAGTTATGCCCTGAATCCCAGTCACTTACATTTAGAGGTACTATCAACAAGGTTGGCAGCCAGAGCATGCTCGCAGCTTTTTTCTCTGATGGTCATCTACCAAAAAGTATCAAGTAACTTTTTTAATGTTCATTCAATGTCTTCGTATTTAAGAACTGCAGCTAAATCAATTTTATGTAAATGTTAAAGGACTTTTGTGCTTATCTAATTACTTTAAAAAATAAATGATTTTAAAACAAAACTGCTGCACTAATGGAAGAAATAAAAATTCAGTTGCAACAGTATCAGACACTGATTGTACCTAGGCGTGTCTATGTTTTGCCAGGAGTTAACAATTGATCTTTATTAACGTATACTTCCTTACCATATGAAGAAGACCATAATTGTGGAAAGATTAATAAGTCAGAACAGTCTTGAATTTCAAACTGATAATAACAAATACAACTCCTTTTTTATTACTACCTATAATATAAAATATAATATAAAAATTGTATCAGCACACACAAAGAGATAGGGCAATGCAAGACTTAGAACGAGACATAGCACAGAAGGGGTGTGCCTGCAGAGGCAAATCCAAGCAATGATTAAGAGATCCCCAAGTGGTCTGGATCAATCATAATTTAAACAGTAGCCAGATGTTAATAACTTTCAGGTGTTTCTTTCACCTAATTATGTAACTGATGCCTTCTACTCTAGCGTGAGTTTTTTCCAGGGCTCTAACTTGGAGACAATGCTCTTTATCCCCAAATTCAGAATATCCATTTTACCCATAAATAGCACAAAAGAGCACCAAGTTTTGCTCATGTTTTGACACTCAGGTCTCTTCCACCACCAGAGAGCACACTGTGGTGGCCCAGAATAAACCATTTGCTTAATATGGGCAGGATGACCATGTGTGCTGGCTGCAAAAACTTCTCCTTGCTTGAAAAAGGAGCTACATTATGAATTTATATTATTAAGTGTGGGGCAGAAGTTTCCATGGAACTGATACTCCTCCTCCTAAGGCAGGTCAGCATGGGAGAAGATGGGGTGCACCGATACACAACATGCTGCAGTTGACCTGAGCAGAAAAGTAAAACACTTTATCCAGGTAGGTTTGAGTTTCATGCTGCAGTCTGGCTCCTGAACTGTCCCAGTATGTAGGGGATGCCCCCTCTCATAGTTTGTGATTAAGCTCACTACCTAACCACTGGCTGCTGTTAGTACAGCTGAGTCACCTACCCATACCAGGCGTCTAGGGAAAGTCCCAGGATCAATATTGCATGCCCTCACTTACAGGGAAAGAGGTATAACATGGTGAACAACTTATCTGGCTTCTAGCAGAGAAGCAGCACATCACGGAGAGGGCTTTTTCTGACGATTTCCGTATCAAAGGCCCAGACTTCATTTTACCTAGGAATCTTCCTGCTTTTGACTTTTTTCTGTGCTCTAATATCACCTCCATATTAATTGTCTACTATAAAAGACAACTTGAGGAAAGATCTCCAGTATCCAAGAATAGGAAAGCTACATTCAACCTACCTTTTCTTACTGTCTCTTTTTGCTGTTTTTTCTAAAACTGCTCTTCGTCGCAGGTAGTCATTTTGGATTTCATTATACTTTGCAGTGTGCTCTTTAATAAGGTCGGTGGTTTTCTTGTGGTGCCTCTTTACAAGGTCCTTCATTTCCTTGTAGTGCTTCTTCTGAAGCTTGACAAAAGACTTCTGTTGCTTTAGCTCCTCAATAGTCTGTGCTTCCACTTCTACAATGATAATAAGAAAAGCCACTTCAATTTTCTAATAATGTACGATTTCAATCAGGGAACCCAGGAATTGCCATTAGAAGGAATGAAACAAAGCATGCTTGTTTACTGCAGGTAAGTGAAATGTGCTAGCTTAAACTAACTGAGTAGACTTATCTGGAAATAAGCTAACCAGATTGAAAATACTGTGGCAAATTTAATTGATAGAAGGGTAAGAAGTGAGATGAAAATTTAGAACACCAAGATGTGTAGCAAAATAAAACACATGTACTTTCTTTCCTCAACCCCTTTCAGCTGCAAAAGATTCCCATCAGCTCAGCTTATAAAAACATGATCTTACATAGACATGACCACAGATCAGTTTTGTACCGACTGTACCAACACTTCAAGTCTCCCTTCTCTCTGGATGGGCTACATAACATGGAGACCCTGCATCAGAGGTGTCATGGCCATCTGGTTGTCAGTCTACCAAAGGATCGGTAGCTAAATACTGAAAGCTGCACTCCAGTGCTGCTACTCCAACAGCAGCTATGAAGGACATCCTGCTCTGTGAACCCAGATCACAGCTTGAGCTCAGTGTCTGCTAGCCTGACCTGCACGAGCTCACCCCAAACCAGCGATTAAAAAAAAAAAAAAAGAAAGAAAGAAAGAGAAAAAAGAAGAAAAAAGCCCTGGAGGGAGTGATGACTTGCATGATCTGGGGTCACAGCTCTGGAAGAACCAGACTGAAGACCCCTTCCCAGACAACAGACTGATTGTATGAGGCCAACAGGTACTCCCAAAACCTAGGCCAGCCTCTTTCTACTGCATGAGGGAGATTGAATAAGAGGCAATCAACATGCAGAATTTCATGTGTCTTGGCACTACCGAACTGACAGGCCAGTTTGCTTAATGTAATGGTAATTTCAGTTTTGTAGGAGCAATGGGAACACTGCAAGGCTAATGAAGATAAAATGGTTTCACTACTATTCAAAATATTCAGAGCAAATGTAGCTTCTGTTCTCATAATAATGCTGGTCTTTTGTCTGCATTAGATGATAATGTTGTGCTTGTGAAACTACAACAATGTGATATTTTTAAAAAATTCCCTGTTGGCACCCAAAACCGAATTCATGAACCATGTGCTCAAACATTTAATAACTTCAAAGCTGAGAAAGAAAACACGGTATGTACGTTTTCTACGAGTTACTGCAGTCCTAATCACTTAAAGAAATGTCTAAGCCAGGTGGCCTATTTAATAAAAAATGTTTCTCTTGAAGAAAAAAGCGTATCATTCATGCAGTGTAAACTGTGTATTTATTACCTGTGAGGACACTCTGAATAAGATCTTCTGTCTTTGCAGGTGCTTTCACCGAACCTAGACATAAAAGAGATGACTAATTCTAATTCTTTTAAAACAACAGCCATTATTGTGCTGCTTGATTGCATATTAAAACATGGCAGGTGACACAGGACATAAACTGATGTGGGCATTTATTAATCATTTGAGAAAACACATCTCTTGAGCAGAAGAGTAGCAACATAGAAAACAACACCGATCCTATGAACCAACACAAAAAGGTAACTTTCCAAAAACCCACCTGAACTTTGCTGTTTTACTTAATCATAAAATTATAAACGCTGTGGTTTAACACGGATTTGTTATAGGAGATATGCCAATACAAAATATGTAAGTATCTAAGACTGTATTTTGTATGTGGAATAAAGTGTAACCACATGCATAAATTAGGCATATTTGTAAAAACAATTTAAAGATATTCCTGCACTTGCAACAACAACAGAAAACAAAATCCAGCAAATTTTCCTGCTTGTAATGGACTTCAGTTCCACCACAAAAGCAACTCTTAGATAGAAGATATTAGTCTATTTGAAGAAGACTGGCCCTAACAGCATACAAAAGTAGTGGGAAAATTTCTACCTATTTTATAAAAACAAAACAAACAAGCACAACTCCCCCTTTGTTCTTTAAATGCAAAGCACATGAAAAATTATTATCCAGATCTATTTTGAAAATATGGGACTTTTTTTGTTTTCCATTGTTTTTTTTACCTGGTGCTGGTTGGCTATGGACAACCTGAGTTGCTGGTTTCGGTGTAAGAGAGGCAGTGTAATTTACTCCATTTTCTGCTGGTGTGGGCCTAGGTTCATTGTTAGCTTCAGATGGTGCATCTCCATGGTCAATCTGAAAATACGTAATGATTTATATTGCTCTTTCCAACTAACAGACTTAAAATTGTTTATCTGCAGGTCTAGTTTAGCCTCGTTTTTCAAATATAAAATTTTGTAAATGTTATATATAAATCATTCTAAAAGAAAACAAACAAACAAAAAGATATCCTTAAGAGCCATGGTAATCCAGGTGGTTCATTTTTGCAGGGTAAATTTCAAGAAGAAATAGAGCATGTATTATTCTGAAAAAGTATTTTTATTTTAAGTGGATATAACTCATCAGGGACGTTTTTCAGTACGGTATATATTACCTGCACCAGATGTGAAATCTGTGTTTTATTGAAAAGCACTGTTCTTTGCCGTAAAACCTTTCTAGAGATAATGTAGAAGCTGGCATGAAAATGCTACTCAAATCCCTGCTGTGAACAAAACATGTACACAAAATTACTTTTAAATTTCATAGATACACACAGCACTATCATTATTCACTGTTCTTGCAGAACAGAGACATACTTCTGATTCCCAAGATCTTACATTCTTCTAATTACACTCCAAGGGTAATACGTAAACAGTACCTCCATCCTGCTGCATAAATACTTCTGTGGTATCCAAATATTTAAGCATTTTCCACAATCTTTTCTTTCTCTCCAGTTTCCTAAAGGCTCAGGCTTACAGCATATGTTGTACTATGCACTGAACGTCTTATAATTTCCCTTGCGACCATCAGGTTATAAGCAAAGTGCCCAGCACTCAGCAAACAGAAGGTCATTCGAAGCAATTTTTATTTTGAAATGGCCAAGCCCCGCTTCCTGCTGTCCCTGCAAGGGGCCAGTTGCCATGGTGTCTCAGGGTAGTTTTGGATTTATTCCTTCGGCTGCCTCCATTTCACTCTTTGATGGTAATCACATTACATGCAGAGGCAGGATACCACAGTTGTTGTTTTCTGCCCCAAGATTACTCCACACTTGCAAAATATCAGACTGCACTGAATCGATAGAAGCAAAATACATTTTGATCTAACTGTTTTGTGCTGCTCCTGCTGCTGATTTCCTTCATCTTGGCCCTGACAACACATTGTATATTGCAAAAGTGTTTCTGTCTCAAGAGCCTATTTCTACCAAAATTATAGGAGAGAGATATTATAGTCAGAAACATGATGCAATTGAAAACCAATGCCAACAACTTCATTTATAGCAAGCAGTACTGACTGCAATAAAATAAGGAAAAACATGATCTAACCAACATTTATGACAATAGAACATGCGACTGGCAAAAGCTGCAGCTGTGACAAACATGCACAGACATGGTTATCCCCTCAATTCTCCTTAAAATATACTCCTCACAGGATGCAATTCATTAGTTTAATAAAAACAATGTTTGCTATATAGATCATCAACACACAAATAAAGCTAGAGTTCCTAATTTCTGGCAAGTTTGTGCCCCAAAAGTCACTGCATGGGCAAGTGGGTATTATCATACTTTGGGTTTGTAGTGGTGTGAAAAGCTGCATCACAGCTTGTTGAGAAACTATTAATATAGCCTGTCAGTTTTGGACATAAACCATCCGTTTTCAGAAACTAAAGCAGAAATGTGAGACAGGATCAGGAAGAGAATAAAGAGTAATTTTCACTACATCAAGCAATCTAATTTCGTTAAAAAGCAGTTTCTCATAATTCATCACACAGAATGTTAAAGTAAACATGATTTTTCCTTAGTGAAGAATATTTTAGGCTCTTTTTAAAACATGATGTAATCCAGCCTTACAATTTATAGTTTTAATATTGACAGAAAATGGTTTGTATTCCACATGTTGCCATGTCTTTGCAAGACAGTATATTTACTAAGTAGAATGATACATACCCATACAGGTACATATCTATATGGTCTATTTCTATTTCTACAGAGAAAAGAAGTTGCAATGTGTTGGGGCTGAGAGATCTCCTCTGTGCTGCACTGTTAAGACTAGGTGGGCAGTTATTAAGTCCGTTTGCCTCTATCCTCCTTGGCAAAGTATAAGCAAGTCTAAGCAACGTCTCCCTATAAGAAGTGTCAGATCAACTTAATTTCCATTACTGCAACTTGCTGTGATCATTATGATTTGCAAAATTATGCCTGAATTTTCATTTTAAATAGTGGTATCAGATATGCTAAATGCAGCTGCTCCCCTAGAGCTGGTTTTGTTTACTTTCCCTATCAAAATAATTTTATTTAGCCAAAGCAGCCAATTGGCTTCATTTGATTTACATCCAGGCATGCAAAACAACAGTTTCCATTTCATCACTGTTTTATGGGTAGAAACAACAGGTCAGACACTCTGCTGCTTCCGTGTCAGACACATTAATGAGCCAGCAAGGCCTCCTGCCTCCCTGCCTCTGCAGTGGGAATTAACATGCAGCCCCAGGGACAGTACACCAGCAGCCACAGCCAAAATGCATTTTACTCTGGCTAGCTTTTCCTAGACCCCTACACACTTCTGCTGCCATGACTGTGGGGGTGAAAACATACACACTAGTTACATCAACCTACTTTAGGCTGGGATCAATTCAAGCCAAGGAACTCTCTGCAAATTTCTACGGCTTATTCCTCCTGTCTGTAAAGGACACCAGGTAGGGGAAGAGAAGGCAACATTCACACCTGTACACTTATAAAGATTTACAATGTATTCAGAGAAGTACAGTTAAAAGTACAAAACCCACACTGGAGGTATTACAGTGCTTCCATTCTGCAAAATAGCTGTTCTATGGCCAGGCTGGAAAGCAAGAACTGACCAGAAAGCTAAAGGTAGGAATTCATGTTACACTTATGATGGGAACATTGCAAATAAATGCAGAAAAGATGCTGTAAATTTTGGCAGTTCTTCAGCATTCTTTGTTTATGTCATTACACTGATAATTAACAGGCAGTGTAATTTGAAGCCTAAAGAAAGGCTCATTTATTTATTCAAAACAATTCACTATTAGGTAGCTTATTTGATTACTGTTTTGCAAGAAGCCTGGAGAACTTCTTGCAGAGACGTAGTTTGAACTTCTAGGGAGCAAAGAAAAAAGCTCTCAGTTTTCCTGTGGCAGCTGCAAGAACCCAGCTCAGATAAATAAATGTGTGTGAGGGGAGGGAAAGAGGTATGGGGAGGTAGAATCTGTGCTAGGAGACAGCACAGCTTTGCACACAAATATTTATGGTGCATAAATTTGAAACTGCACATAGGAAAATTTAATCCAGGTGCACTTATGTGTACATTTCTGGCAAACATACTTGAGTTTATTTAGCTATGTTGCCAGTGAATGTACTTGCAATTATTAACTGATGTGATTCTTGCGGGCCAATATAGGTGAACAAAACAGTCGGCCTGGCTGACCGCTGAAGAAAACGTTATCATCACACAACATGATAAGGCAATGCGAGATTTCCAAGTACAGCCCAGCTGCCAAATATCTTACCCAGAAAGGGTGTTTATAAATAGAAGGTAACAATGGTGTATTTAGATCGCCACTTAAAGTGCCAATTTTGTACCTGTCCCTTGCTAGTCTATCTAACTGAATGCTTATACATTTTTAGCAAAAGCACCACTACAATCATTACAGTTTTCTTTTAAAAAATATTTCTCTGCTACTCCAAACAAGCTCCTTTATCCTATGAGCTTTAAAGCTCCTTGACATATGGTAGCACTACCCAGGCACTACAATTCATCTTTCCTTCTTCTCAATTGCTTTAGAAGATACTCTGTGACAGAATTTTTCTAACTAACAAATAAGCCTGTACAGACCAGGAAAATCTGTACTTTTTCAAAAGTAAAAATGACCTCTAAGGTATTTAAAGGATTATGTTAAAAAAAGACTTTGCTATTAAAATAGAATCTCATGTGTAGAGCGTCCTAGATAAATGTCTAAGATACTATTGAGCATTTCACAGTGTCCTCGTTCAGCCAAACTTGTGACACTGCACAAAGAGTAAATTGTTGGCCAGTGAATTGTAATGACTTTCACTCATCTGGTCTGCTTTGGGAATGTATTCTTGGTTACAAAATCTAGTTCAGTGAGGCTTTGCACATCTGAGAATTGAAGAAGACAGGCACCAGAGCTGAGGGCAGTTTAGGATTATAAAGCATTTCTCCATCTTCGCTAGAGACCTGTACTGAGTGCCTTTTGATTCACATGATGTGCCTAACATCTGACACAAGCAATCTTTAATAGACAAGGTTGATATTTTCAAACACTGCTAGAAGACGTCCCAATGACAACTGTCTGGAACAGAGAGACTGAACGTTTGAATGTGCATAGAGTTTATGAGAAACCAGAGCTGAACTGCCAGTACTCTCTATTATGCTCAAAATAACATCCATGGATTTGTATGCACACCACCTCCAATTACACAGACAAACAGGGTTTACGGGTTAGTCTGTAGGTAACCACATATACCCAAACAGATATCTAACAACTGAAAATGTGGCTCCCATAGCTTTCAGCTAAGCTAGAGTAGGCCTGAACATTTATTGTTCAGGTCTCCTCCTCTTCATCTCTCTTTCTAAGATCTATGAAGAGTTGGATCAGTTGACCTGCAGAGGCCCCTTCCCCTCTCAATTATTGTATGATTATACTGGGTCTCTTTAGGGCACGTTTGCTCACAAAGAATGTATAGCAACATCATAATCTGAGATACACAAATGTTCCTGAACAGAATAACCTCTCCAGAAACAGAGCCTGAAATTCTGGAAAATTTGTAATATTTTCAGGAAAAGCTACTGACACAGAGTTGTCTTTTTTGTAAGGGGAACTTCAGCATCACACTGGAAAACAACAGCCAATGACTTAAGAAGATTTCATTTACTACATAACAAAGTTGCAAATCAGCATGCACATAACATGGTTTTTTATTCAGCTTTTGGTCTCTCTCTACCTCTGAACAGTAACTTGGTCCATGCACAACATGCTGCCTCCAGTGAAACCACACACACAGTGCAATGCTTCTCAGCTGTAATGTACCCGGTCTCATTCTAGGTGAGATGTTCACAGGTGTTCAAGTAATCAACAGATACAATTCCCAGAGACTTTCAATATTTGTCTTTCTAAGCAAAGCAGGTGCTTGTAAATACTGTACCATAACTTGCAGATACTCTGAAAACTCCCTTACCTCCTTCTTTACCTCTTCTTCATCTTCCAGGGTCAGTGCGGCCAGTTGCTTAGCTCTTTGCTCCATCAAGTTTACATATCTGATTGGATTGGATAAGGCCTCGATCACATCTAGAAATAATGCAAATAACTTCAGTCTCAAACCCCTTATGTTATAGTTCCAGTGCTCCTCAGCTTTTAAGAAAGAGACTGTTATTTTTCATACAGATCTGCTGCTGATAGGTACTCCTAGGTCCTAGAAATAACAGTGGAGGGGAGTACACCATTGTGCACAAATACTCTTAATGCAAACCCTCTTTGAGTTTGTGCTTGGTCTCGTGGATGTACATTTTCTGCATAGTGTTTGTTTTATGATGGATTTTCAAAGCTTACAGCATCAGCCAACTAGGATCCTGCTTCACATGAGGCATAGAGGAGCATTAGCAAAAATCCCATTTTTTCAAAAAATCAAAATAGCTATACAGAATACATTTTTTTCACTGAAGTGCAGTACGCTCTTTAAGCCTATCCTTGTTTAGGGCCGATTACAAAATACAATGCTTTACATTAAGCATGGCACTCAGCTTAGGAAACAATTACATACTACTGTGTTGTGTAAGCAAAGTTTCATTTGTGTTTCTGTCCTGGGTTCAGCTGGGATAGTTAATTTTTACAGGAACCTGGGAGGTGGGGGGCATAGCCGGGGCAGCTGACCTGAACTGGCCAAGGAGCTATTCCATACCATGTGACATCATGCTCAGTATATAAATGGGGAGCGGCCGGCGGGAGTGGTCTCGACTTTCGGTGGGGGAAGTGGCGGAGCGTCGGGTCCCAGGTGGTGAGCAGTTGCACTGTGCATCACTCTTTTTGTATACTCTTTCATTAGTACCGTCGTTGTTGTTGTAATTTCTTTGTGTTGTTCCAGTAAACTGCCTTTATCTCAGCCCTCGAGGTTCCAGGTTTTTTTTTCTTTTCTCTCCTCCGTCTCCCCCCTATCCCACCGGAGGGGGGCGGGAGGAGTGAGCGAGCGGCCGCGGGGTCCTTTGTTACCGGCTGGGCTGAAACCACGACAGTTTCAATGGCAAATGCCTGGGGTATTTCCTCCTTTAGAGTCATACAAGGCCTGCTGAAAATAAGAGTTGGCCCTAATCCTAAACCTCAGGCAGGCTGCTGTAAATCAGGCCATCTTGTATGAGTGATGAGACATAATCCATCAGATGCAGAGGTTTGTTCACAGGACGGTTATCCCAATATGGCAAGTCATCTATACCACATTTATTTTGCATTTCAATTAACCTTTCTATTTCCCAGTAGGAAAATGTCACAGAATTACCTGCATATGTATCAGGTACATAGTCTTTGACTTCTATGTACACAAAGAGAGCTGGCAGTGTCAAAGGTTGGTTCCTCTCATTCCTCAGACAAATGTAGTGATAGCCTGCAAAAAAAGAAACAACCAGTTCAGAGCATAAACTCTTCCACAGGCATTTCCAGTGTAATTGTGTTATCACTTGTTATTTATAGTGTGGCTCCAACTGAGCAAGCAACCTCAGGGACTTCTGGTAGGGAAAGATTTACCTGAGGGTTTCAGAGATAAGTATAAAGACAAGGGACCGTTAGAAAGGCACATGACACTGCAGTTCAAAATAGTATTTTCCCTTTATTTTAACATCTGTGAATAATGCAAAAAATTGTCATTTATATAATTTTTTATGTATTCTATTTTATTACCTTTCGCTGCATTTTTTTTTTTTTTAGTTTTGTAGCTCCTGCTTAATTTTCAAAAGTGACCCTTGTAGTACTCGGGAATCTGAGCAGCCAAGTAAAACCAAGATGTAACAGTCTGTCCACAGCACAGCATCTAATTAAAAAAATAGACAATGGGGCACTTTACCTACAAAGTGTGTGTGTGTATGAATCCTATCATGTGACCAACCTTGGAGATGTATCTGGAAAAAAAAAGAGTATTTTCAGACTATTTTGAAAGCTGGCTGTCTTGTATAAGTGAGGGCACACATTACAGTGCAGCTTAGCCAAGCTAATGGCGAGACAACACAGATGGGGCAGCCCCAAACCCTTTCTCCCAGCCACCTACCACCATCTGCTGCTCTTTCTCTTGTTCAGTGACACTTTTCTAACTTTGTAGAAAGGCAGCTCAGCAAGCTAAACTCCGGAAAAAGCAACCTGCAGGAACTGCGAAGAGTCTTCCATCAATTTAGCTCCTCAAAATGCCTCACCATAAGGTGAGACACACTAATGCCAGTTTAAAGACAGCGATGGAAGTAGGAATGGGAGAAAAGGACTTCCAGACCCAACAAATTCTTACAGCATTGCAGTGCTGCAAAGCTGTATCCTCTGCCTCACAAATTGGTGTCTTGCACCATGGCTGAAGTCGTTCTTCTAAGGCATGATTACAGAGCCACACATATGGGTAGTGTCAAGATAAAAGTCAGGAGCAGTATGCATTTATCTGGGGGGGACCCTCAGTTGGCTGATGTGAACAACTCCTTCTCCAAGTAACAGTTAAATCCTTGCTATGGGAATAATGCTAATTCTGTGGATTTGTGTGATAGTATGATATAGTTTTCATTAATGTCTCAGAAAAGAGAGAAATTAAATATTACAAAGGTTTCTCAGCTCTCTCAAGCACCTCCAGCAAATTTTCAGCAGATACATAAACCAAAATCAACATGCTGTTCTCCATCACATGCTGTAAACTAATGATTACTGGAGTCAAAAGGACAGAAGATAGGGCTGCAGGTAAAAGCTCTCAGAAGTCCTTGCATGATTTAACACATTGGCCTTTGTTCTAAAAAGCACAAGCTTAAAAGCAGGTACATGATTGAGTGCTCTGAATGGTCTCTGTGCTGCATGAAGAGTGAGTGCCATAAAAGGGGATCAGCCGTGGGAAGAGCTCACTTCCACCAGAAGAGGGAAATCCTTCACGTGTCCCTTTCTCCTCTTCAATCGCCTATCTTCCTCTGGAGCTCGGCAGATCCTCCATGAGGCAATTATATCCATTAAGCCAACAGAAAACAGTGGAGAGTTTTCTGCTGGATTGGTAAGCTGAGTTGGCTCGCAAAAAAGGTGTGGAGATTGGCAGAGCTGGTACAACAGAACGGCCAGGGTTGCATAGCCAAGAGCAGGGTAGAGAGAAGGGAAGGAGAAGTGATAACTGGTGAGGAAATCCTGGAGCAGTGACATGCCCAGCAGCCACCTCCCATGGCTAGCCTGTTTGCGCTTGCAGAGAGGCCATGCGGCCCACACCAGCTAAGACAAAACCACTTGGAGCTCTTCTTAGAAGACCCCTGACATCACCTGCCACAAGAGAAAGGACTGATTTATACATTACCTGAGATCAGGTCTCCAGGAATAATATGGACAACAACTATTAGATATGGGGACCTGAGTTTTGTGCTACTGCTGCAACTGGTTAGATAAGGTACAGGGTAAACACAGATACTCTTAGTTTTCTACTGTGAGTGAAACTGGGAGCATGTTTATGGCCATAGGCTTTGCCCCCTTTTTTTCCCCAGC